TAGAACCCCTCGACAGAGTCTTCTTTCCCCTCACCCTTCACACTGTCTAGCAGTCCTGCTTGAGAAGCTGTATGATTTTTTTTTAAACTTCTCTTAGTCTTATCAGATGGAGATGCCAAAATATTTTGCCAGCTTCCAAGGCAACTAATGGAGAAGGCAGAGTTGTTGCTGTTCAGATACATCCTTGGGAGGCACGTGGGAGCCCATAGAGCTCACAAGTCACATGTGCCTGGCAGAGAGCATGAGCTAAGAAGCTTGTGTGACCCAGGCCAGTCCCATGACTCTGGAGATCAGCTCTCTTCATTAAGCAATGACTATATTCTGGTAGCTACCCCACCTGCCTATACAGTTGTGGGAAGAAGACTCAGTAGAATGTCTAACAAAGGAGTTTGAAAGGCCACATGTCAAACACATGCAAGGGACAATAATTATGCTGTTATGGCCATCTGCCCTCACCCAAAGCTAGTGTGGAGATTTTATTTCTCCAAGGGAAAACTTCTCTCTTTCCAAGTTGAAATGGTTAAATTCCGTGGGGTTTATGGGACAAAGTCACTATCCTCTCTTACCGGAAATGAAATAGTATCTTTTGCTATTGACTCAGACAAGTCTGAGTTTTATCTGCGTGCCAGCTTTCCTACACACTCTTCTCTATGCACTCTGTTCTTGGATTTGGAAAACACTACAACAAACATTGCTTGCTCTGTGGCTTTGGAGAGCTGTCCTGCACCCACATGGAGCCAGCCACTTCAGAGTTCGGAGTTCTTCGGAGAGGGCCACATGTGATGACTTTGGTTGAAGACAATTTCAGGAAAAATGGAGGAGCCTGCAGTATGGCACTACGAGGACTCTCTGTATTGATCACTACATTTACAGGGTCAAAAAGGCTAAAGTTAGAAAGTTATCTGGGCCAAGATATGAAAATTAAGCTTCAAAAGTAGGTTGAGTAATAGGTAGGTAAATATAGGTTAGCAATGGCCAGCTGCTTTGCATAAAGGCTCTCCTGACTCCGAGCCAACTGTCTACCCAATGCATCACCATCAATACTAATAATGCCACACCTCCAATGACTGCTGCCGTATGTGGGACAATGAGTATGTGTGAGTGCTAAGCCACTTGCATATATATTCATTCTTTTGATCCCTGCATAACTCACACACAGGTATTTCTCCCATTTTACAGAGGAGAAAAAGAAGCCAGGGAGTGTTCACTGCTTCCCAAAGTTAAGGTGTTCGTGTTTGCAGTATCTCACAGAACGCAGAATAAGAATTGGGATAAGTATGCCATTCTGTTTGTACACAAAATTGCATTTTTTAAAAAATTAAAATGAAATCACTTTACACCAAAACTCAAAGTGTCCTGGAAAAAATACCCCAAATAAAACTGACCCACAAACTCACCCTAAAGTCCAGCCTGGCTTTATATTGATGGGTTAACAGAGAGAGGCGGTGACATTTCAAAGCCCTTCTTCCTATCAAGCTTTCTGACCAGGTGAGTCACAGGAGAAAGCTGCAGCTTTGGCCCCAGTGGAAACACTCATTTCCCCAGCTGCTCAGCAGCAGGACATCAAGACCAGCTCTATGTCCTGGCTTTTCTAGTCTTAGCATTGCTTTTAACATGATGAAACCAACTTTTGTTATCCCCGCTGGAGGTGCGTTCTAAAGGTCCTATATTCAGGCATTTTCTCCTCTTGCTTAGCAGGAGTCAGGATAAGAAACTCACCAGGCCTGACTGTCAGCTGCCAAAAATAAATGTCCCTGCTCTTTTAATCTCCACATTCTGTTTTGCCAAGCTTCCTTACAAAGCCCAGCTACTCTATGAAGTGTTTTCACACTGCACGAGTTAGAGAGCCTGACTTTCAAAACCCTCGGCGTGTGCTTGGTTATCATTCAAAAGAGCAGAGAATGTTTTCTTGAAATTCTATCCTGTTTAAAAAGTTAATTTCACATTAAACCATGCGATCAATGGATGCCCCAGAAGTACCAGGCAGAATAAGTTCTGGAACTTTGCCCAGTATGAAATTGAAAGGAGAGGAAGGCCAGCAGTCACTGAATCACCCAAGGCTCTTCAAACTCTCAGTGTACCTATTTCCTCCTAATTGACACCTGCCCTCCTGGAGGAGGGGGGCTCAGAGGACTCAGAAAGCTAAGGAAAGGCTCACAATGCTTGGAAAGTTACATGATTCCGAAGGCTCCTCCCAAGACGATATTGCTGGGGTCGGGGTGAGGGTGGGCAGAAGCTGGTGACCAGGACATTCTCTTTAGTGTAGCTGTGGCATACTGGGCAGGGAGCTCTCAGGGATACGGTTTTCTTGAATCATCACCTGTGCTGGGGTAGCTTTATAGTGATGTGGCTGCTTTGTGTCACCCCTATTCCTGCAAATAACCCCAATAAACTGATTGGTTCAACATAAACTTTGGTGAAATTGTTTCTTCGGTTGCTCATATCTGAAATGAACAGACATTTGCACACCTCTCACAAGGAAGTCATGCCACAAAGCCTGATTAGAAACAGGTAAGAATTTTTAAAATGTAAATTTTATGAAAACAGTGTCTATGGTTGCTAGGAAAGACAGTTAGGGTGCTTATTTCATAGGACATCTGTGCTGGTTAGTTACTGGTGATTTGACACAAGCCAGGGTCATCTAGGAAGAGGGAACCTCGGTTGAGAAAATGAGTCCATTAGATTGGCATGTAGGCAAGTCTGTGGGACATTGATTAATGACTGATGAGTAAGTCCAGTAAGAGTAGTACCATCCTTGGGCAGGTGGTCCTCAGTTGTCAAAGAAAGCAGGCTAAGTAAGTCATGGGGAGCAAGCCAGTAAGCAGCATTCCATCATGGCCACTGCATCATTCAGTTCCTGCTTCCACGTTCCTGCCCTGAGTTCCTGCCCTGAGTTCCTTCAATGATACACTGTGGTCTGGATGTGTAAACCAAGTAGACACTTTCCATCCCCAAGCTGCTTCTGGTCATCATGTTTTATCATATGAACTGAAGAAAACTAGGACAGCATCTAAAGAGAAGACTGCCTTGGGGCATGTGGAGTGTGCAGCTTCAATTCGGCTTCCTTTGTCCCTGTGTCTTTCTAGCCATATTTTCATGTATCTAGTTATGTTCAGCACTTCAGCACTTAAGATCTGAATTCCTGCTATTTGCTAGATCCCCGGGATCCAAAGATGTTGTAATGATTTATGCCCTTTGAGAAACCTTCTATCTATTGATAGAAATAGATAGTGTGTAGGTGCCATGAAAAGATTAATTCCTGTCACAAAATGAATGGAGCAGAGCTGGGGCTGTATAGCTTTGGGGATCCAGGGATGGACACACTGTTGAGGTGGCACTTAAGCTGGTTTTATCCAGCCAGGGAGAGAATGGGGGAGGGTACAACAGATAATGGGGATGGTGAGTGCAAGAGGAACAAATGTATTAGAGATAAGGTGAGTCCAGCACAGTGATCATGTTAAAGGGAGTAAGAAAAAGATGAACTCAAATTTCAGAGGGTCTTTAGGATAGGAATTGGGGGTCACTGGGAAGCAGAGACTACAGGGGGGTCTCAATGGAGTTCCTGGTCTGCCCAAGCACGTCTTGGAAAGGTAACTCAGTTAGAAAGGAGGAGGCATGGGCTTACTCCAGTGCCTGAGGGCTAAAAGTACAAGGATGATAATGGGCTCATGCATCCTGATGTTGGAGGGTACTGATCCAGACCCAGGAGAATCAGTGGTGTCAGGGCTGATAGGCAGAGGACTGGCATCCTACTTGGAGACAATCAGGCAGAAAGAGAGAATTCTTTCTTATTCAGCCCTTTGTTCTATTCAGGTCTCCAACTAACTGATGGAGAAGAGCCACCCACACTGGGGAGGACAGTTTGTTTGACTTAATATATGGATTCACACGTTAACGTCACCTAGAAACATTTTTGCAGCCATAGTCCATCCAAATTTCTGGGTAACTCGTTGGCCCAGTCAAATTGACACACAAAATTCACTGTCACAGGGCCAGTGAGATGGCTCAGTGGGTAAGGTTGCTTGCCATGCAAGCCTGGGGACCTGAGTTTGGTTTCCAGAGCCCAGGTAAAGGTGGGAGGAGACAACAAATCCCACAGATTTGTTCTCTAACCTCCAAACATATGTGTTGCCATGCATGAGCCCCACCATACACACACACACACACACACACACACACACACACACACACACACACACACACACACACACACTAGCCATCAGAGCCAACTCCTCTGAGTCACTGTTTTCCTGATTACTCCTCCACCTTGCCATCTATCTGCTGCCAGAGAGACCATCCAAGAAGCCAATCTATTCCTTCTCTGCCTTTGTGAAGTCCTTCAGAGGCTTCTGATGCCACAGGACATAAGGCAGGGACAGAGGATCACAATTCTCCATGCTGCAGATGAATTCTCACCTCACCGATGTGGATTTCTTTTGAAGATGCTATGGGCTCCTACCTCTCTGTGTTTTTCTCTTGTCGGGGGCCTCTACCTGAAGTACCTTGAGCTTCACCTTTCTCTCTTCCTTCTCTTCAAGTTAGCTCCTAAATTAAAACTTTAAGATTCATCTTTGGCCATTCTCCTGTCGTAGGAACCTTTCCAGACATCATTCCCCTCCCTGCCCTCAGTTGAGAACAGTGTCCATGGGTTCCAAAGCATCCTCCTGAGCTCTCATGTCTGTCCTGTATTACAGTAGCAACAGGAAATGCACTTCACTGTTAAATGTCTGTTATATGCTAAACAATATACATTACCTATTATCATCCTTGTAAATGTAGAGGGTAGACATTATGAAGACCCCCAATGCAGTGATAAGAAAACTGGTTCAGAGGAGAGAAGTAAAGTCATTTGTTCAAGGCCATGACTGGTAAGAAATAGTCAAGATTCCCAGTCAGGTGACTGTTCTTCTCATACTGTGCTCTTTTCTGTGCTGTGTGATATGTTTCATTCCCCAAGACCACATGCACTGGGCAATGACAGTGCTCTTCATCTTTTGTAGGCACTGGGCACAATGCCTGCCATACAGAAAAACGACGTTGAATGAACACAGATGAACGAGTGGATGGCAGAAGTACAGAATAAATGGGAGGTGAGGGAATAGAGCAATCACAGGTTACTCCATTAGAAATCTGGAGTAAATAATGACGAATCCAGAAAAAGAATTGTTAGGTGATCGCTGGAGAGACACACAAATAAAGCAAATGAGTGTGTGTGCTCCAAGAATGGACATAGTCTACTGAGAGATCATGCAAGGAGCTTAGGTAATGGAAGGCAGCCCTTGAGGACTGCTTGCATATTCTAAATTCAAAATTCAAGCTTTTATTTTTATTTTTTTTTTATTTTTATTTTTTTTTTTTTGGTTTTTCGAGACAGGGTTTCTCTGTGTAGCTTTGCGCCTTTCCTGGAACTCACTTGGTAGCCCAGGCTGGCCTCGAACTCACAGAGATCCACCTGGCTCTGCCTCCCGAGTGCTGGGATTAAAGGCGTGCGCCACCACTGCCCGGCTGGTTTTTCTTTTTTTTTTTTTTTTGGTCAAGCTTTTATTTTTTAGTGTTTCTCAAGGACGCAGCTCCTAGAACCTTCCATATAGAAACTACTTATTAGGTTGATGGTCAAGGAAAAGAACAATGTGACAGAAGAAATCACGTTGGTCGTGTCCATCTGTTTCACCCACATTAACAGCTGCTTTTAAGGTCAAGTCTGGAATATCCCAAGTAATGAAGCAAGTCACAGAACATGAGACATTCAAGAAGCCAAAGAAGAGACAAACCTTTCTATGCAAGGCCAAGGGCAAGTAAAAGAGCCATGACCACAGTTAATGACTGACAGCCCCGTAGTTCCCAAACCCCTGATCTTCAGATTCTCAGGCCAGGCCTTGAGTTCAGCTTCTGTTGTTTGGCACAGTGAGCTGTGCACTGATATGAAGTCAGGTAGAATAGAAATCACTAGGGTACTAGGCATGGAGTGGGGGAGCTCTGTTATACTGGCTGTTACGGGAACCAAACTCAGATATTATTGAGGACCTCTTTACCTCTCCTCAAGCTTGTGCTTGTCTAGGCCTGCTTATCTAACTCAGTCTGAGAAAGTCTCTGCATTAGATAGAAGTTAAAGACGGAAAAGTCCTTGCATTAGAGACATAAATTGAATATATTTATGGTTTATAAAATATATGTGTGTGGAATGACTAAATCAAACCAACTAATATACTTATCACCTCATATATTTAACATTTTAATCCTGAGAAATCTTAAAATCTCTCTTAGCGCTCTCTCTCTCTCTCTCTCTCTCTCTCTCTCTCTCTCTCTCTCTCTCTCTCACACACACACACACATACACACACACACACACACACACACACACACACACACACACATCATATTTTGCAGTATTCAGAACTGAGGGGTAAGCCAACTCTTTAGCCTGGAGCTGCACCTCCAGCCACTAATACATTATAATTCACTGTAGTCACCACTGCCCACACCAGATGCCCTGTTCTTGGAGCATGAGGTTCCTCTTGTGAGGCAGGGGCCTCAGACTGCACATCAGCACCATTTAATATTCCATTCATGCAGTAATATTCCTTGCTCTGACTCCATAGCAATATGTTAACTGGTGAGATATCTCATAATAAAGTACCACAGAGTGAGTGTCTCACATCACACACACACACTACATGTTCTCCGTTCCAGAGGAGACTGGATCCAGGTGTTGTTTATCTCCATGTCTCCTGAAGGCTGTCGAGGAAGGATCTGTCCCAAGCCTTTCTCTTTGTCTTGATGAAGGCTGCCTTTGCTTCCTGTCTCCTTACGTCATCTTTCTTTTGTGGGTGTCTGTCTCTGTGTCCACATTTCCCCTTTTCATAAGGACATCAGTTATACCGAAGGAGACTCCATCCTACAGGCTTTATTTAATTTGATCACCTCTGTAAAGATTTTCGCTCCAAATGCCTTTATATTTTGAGGTCAGGACTCCAAGCTATATTTTCTGGGGGTCGCCATTCCATCTACTTGCCAAAGAATCTTCTAGAGATTTCGTGGCTTGCCCAAAGATTCTCCTACATGAAGAGCGTGTGGGTGTCAGTGGTGGGGGCACTTCTCACTTGCAGTGGATGCCTTGTGTTGGTGAAATAGAATTAGAAACAAAGCCTCCTACCAGCAGAACAGCTCTTCTCCAGAGCGAAGGAGAAAGGAAACAGTTCTGTTATTGAATAAGCACTAAAGCAGAATGCACGCACATCATGAGAAAACTGCTAAGGATACTGCAAAGACAAGGAAATATGCTCTTTATAGGCAAGTAGAGACACTCCATCCCACACGTGTTCTCAAGATCCACGGTGCCCGGTCCTCAGGTAAGAGGACTTCCCAGGACAGTTTGCCAGGGAGCTATTGTTAACGCACTTGGTTTGGGGCCATTACTTTCTTTCCTCCCCTGAGATATTTACAAACCTTTCAAAGGTTACATAAGCCCCTTGATGGCTTTTCAACCCAGGTGTCTCTCTCTCTCTCAAGGAGATGATAAAAGTGCTTGCTGAGCAAATGTAAGACCCCGAGTCTGAATTTCCAGACCCTGTGTTCAAGTTGGGTGCCGTAGTGCAAACTCCTTCAGTTGCAGGGCTCCTATAAAGAAATGGGGTTAGAGACAGGAGGATCCCCAGAAGCTCTTAGGCCAGCTAGCCTGGCTTACACAGAGGAAAATTAGCAAAGACATCGCGTCTCAAAACTAGGTGGAAGGGGAGAACCAGTACCCAAGGTTTTGAACTCTACACATGCGCGTCAGCACACACTCGCCTGTGTACACACAGACACACAGACAGACAGACACACACACACAAATGCATGAGTACACAAACATTCTCACTCACACATAAATCACATGCATAAAATTTTAATAAGTAAATAAATAAATAAAAGGGTAATGGCCAAGAATGATTGTGACTCTCTCAATCAGGAAACAGGGGAAAATGGGAGCCTATACCTCTATTAAAATATTTACTTAAAATTCATTGGGAACATTATTATTTTGTCATTATTTTTGAGAATTCCACATCTTATTTTTTCTTTCTCAGTGTCACTTTTATTGCTTTTGTCTTGTACTGAAATTTTCATACTAAACCAAATGAACTGGTTTCCTCCTTGTCCTTCACAAAGGCGGTCTTGAATTAGGGTCTGTGCTCCACACTCGCTAGCATGAATGTCCCCCATTTCTTCTGAGTGACTCCAGTAGGTGACCTGGAGTGTCCACCATTCTGGCCTATGACTCATCAGGATTTTTCAGGGAAATGTACTGGGTCAAGCCTGTTCACCGATGTAAATTCAAAGTACTGAGGTGTAAAATGGCCTCAACAGCACTTTGACATTCTTAGACTTCTCCCATTTACGCCCCAGCTGAGACAAAATAGTCTGAGTTTATACCAAATAAGAGATAATGATCCGACTGTGTTCTTAGAATCAAGGACCAAGTGTACTTGCTGTTCACCTTAGATGCACTGTGTTTTCCAGCTCCAGACTATGGCGTGTGAAGCAATAATCAAGAATGAAGAAGTTTGTGGCTGATGTGATTAGGAAAACAGGTATGGCAATATTTAAAAATGCAGAGGGATAAAATCTATCAAAACTCAGCAGAGCACTCTTTAAAATGCTGTTTGCACCTTTGTAACTTGCTTGAAAGCCAGAAGCAAGGCTCTTCATCAAACCACCTTCCCAGGTCCTATGGTACAGCTAAATTGTCAAGATTTTCGATCTTCCTTTGTACAAAGCGCTCACATTTCCCTTCTCAGCTTGTTTCTGGTCCTCCCTGTTCTTTTTGGCTTTCTCTGGTCCTTGATGTCTTCACTGGGTCTGAGGTGCACCAGTCCTGCCATTTTCAGCCTAGACCTCTAGGAACTAGGGTGTGGCTTGGGGAATGGTCAGAGCATAGAGTGGGCTGCATAGAAAACCTCTGAGACTCCAGTGTGAGGCTGGGCAGGAGAACCGGACACCTCCTGGCCGGAGATGGCAGGGCCTGGATTTTAACAAGTGGGGTTGGATGATCTGACCTAAAACACTCTTTATAAAACAAGGTTCTAGTCTCCATAAGCCATAGCGCACACACACACACACACACACACACACACACACACACACACACACACACTCAACAGCATCAAAACCACTCTTTATGGAAAGATGATGTCTCTGTTACCATTTTTAGTCTCTACCCTATCCAGTGTTTGATAGCTGCACTTGTTACATCTGAAGAGCTGAAAGTATGGAAAGATAAAATCAAAGTCTTCAGCATTTATCTTTGAGATCCAAAATCAAGGTGGATTTCAGTTTTTTGTCATTGTCTGTGACTTTGATCAAAACACTTTCCACAAACAGCTGAGGAGGAATGGTCTGTCATGGTGTGCAGTTTCAGGCCATTCAGTCTGTGGTCGCTGGGCCCCAGCACTTGGACGGAGCATTGTTACAGTGGGGGGACATCATGGAGGCTGCTTTCCACTTCTCCAATGAGCAGGGGAAAGTGGGACTGCAAAGGATCTTGGAGGGCATGTCATCTCTGTCCCCTCCAACTGGCTCCCACCTCCCAATTTTCCAGAGCCTTTCAAAATAGTACCATGATACAGAGACCAGCCTTTCAATACATAAGCCCACCAGGAGGACACTTCATATCCAAACATAGCATTCTGCCCCACACTCAAAGACTTCAAGGATCCCTAGAGTCTTGTCAGTTCCAACATTGAACAACAGTCCAAAATAAAAGTCTCTTCCAAGATCCCAGGCACTGTTACGGCTAGCACCTGTAACATAAAAAGAAAAACTGCTTCCGAGATGCAGAAACACAGAGTAAACATTTCCATTCCAAAGGGAAGAATAGAGACAGAGAAAGGACTGGGACCAAAGAAAGACCAGAGTGCACCTGGGCAAATGTTAATCACTGGAGCCTCACGGCTAGTGTCTGGAGGACGCAATATTATGATGCCAGCTCCTGAGGCTGGGGAGCTTCACCCCGTGGCCTTGCCACTTACTGTCCTCCTGGCCTCTCTTTGCTGAGCAAAGTGGTTTTCCTTAGCATGTGTCCTTCCATGGTCCTGACACTTTCAAATCCTGGGGTATCTGCTGTAAATTGGGCTTTCCCTTCAAAGCTTCATGCATGTGACAATTTGACAAATTTGACGTTTGTCAACTCAGGGGATTCCCACATGAAATTCAACACTGCTACACTTTTCATTATAAATATATATGTATATATATTTATGCCTACTATCTAGTGTCTGTTTATCAGCTATCTATCCATCTGTCTATCTATCTACCTATCTACCATTCATCCATCTGTGTATCTGTGTATCTAGTTGTTATCTTTTTTTTCCTATGACAGCTTAGAATGTAAGAGGCATCAAAATTGATAGACAGGAGTATGGCTAGAGACCCTGCGAGGCACATTATATTTAGCAGAAAAATAACACTATGTAGCAGAGAGAGCATTAGCCTGGCACCCAGAGAAGACCTCCACCAGCTGTCAGGAGATGTCAGTTAAGCTAGGAAGAGCCTGAAGCTATGGAGTCTGAGAGAGGGAGCAAGCTGGCTGGCTTTCACATGGCTTGATCTTGATGCAATAGAAGGAAAAATTTCCTCTTCAGAGCTTACACGAAATCAGAATCGGTGCTCTTTAATGAAGGGAAGATGCACTCGATAATTCATTAAGGTGCCTCAGCAAATAGATGTTGGACACCTTGCACTCCAGGTTCTCAGGAAAGGGCAGGTTTCTGTAATATGGGAGGCTGACAAAGACAGCCTCTCTCTTTGGTGGCCTTCCAGAGTTACTGTGATGTGCCACAGATTGCTTATCTAGGGAGGATAGTATCTTGATTTAACTAAAGTAGCTCCCATTTGGGACTGTAGATCCTAAAGAGAAGCACAGGAGGACATCAAGGAAGAGGCAGAGCTGGGCCCTCTCCAGCCCTCAGAATGATCCCTGTGTCAGCCATGTTTATGAGACAAACATCCTATCTAATCAAACACAGTTGGAATAGTCAAGAAGATAATTTGAAAAGTGCATTTGCATCCACTAGCATTAACAATGAAGGAAGAATACCAGGTCTTGTTAGAACGCTGAACTCATTCACTAGTATTAACAACACATGAAGAGAATACCAGATCTTGTTACAACACTGAGCTTACAATGGTGTGGAGTTATCCTGATTATCTAAGCATTGAAAATGAGGCATTATTAGTAATAGCATGATTACATTAAGAGCAAAGAGGGTGGATAACATTAATAAAATGAGGGATTGTTTGAAAAGTAGAATATATTTCATTCTTATCTCATTGTTTTTATTCTGTTTTTTACGTGCTTTAAAAGTAATCATAGAGAACTCCACATGTATGCAAATGTGCCTGCCCATCGGAATGTTAACAGGTCACTGAGCAGGGTGTCCGGGAATGTGGAGGACAAAGAGCAGCTTGTCCAGCATAACTCTGCATCTACACACTGACGGTAGTAAGAAAACAACTGCACTGGAAGTCAATAGGTAACAAGTCCCAACTAGTAGAGCTAGCTGATCAAGTGTGGGCTAGAGAGACGGTTACTTGATGACTTCATGGGGAAGCTTTAAGTCACCTTTGGATCATTAGACTGTGTGCTTTGATGTTCTTTCTGAGGTAGAATCTTGTTGTGTAACCCAGAATGGTTAGACTTCCAGTCTCAGCCTCCTGAGGGCTGATATTACAAGTACGCACCACTTGCTCATCCTGGATGACTTTATTTCCACCCCTGGTTTGTCTATTTCTACGACTCTTCTGTTTCCGGTGGATTTTAGTTAGCTTCTCCATGGTGCTTACCTCATTTCAACTTTCACCAAAGTGTGAGTGTCTCTTCTAGGAGACTAAATCCTTTAAGAGCAGAGGACATCTGACATTTTTATTTTAACTTTTAAATTTTTCATGTGTATGTGTGCAGGTATGTGCAGGTATACATTGTGTGAGTACTCATGCACGTGTGGACACCAGAGGACAGCCTCAAGTGTTGAACTTCGGATCCTCCTGCCTTTGCCTCCAAAGTGCTGAGATTATAGACATGGACCACCGTAACTGTTTTGTCCAGTGCTGGGCTGAGCCTATGACTTTATGAATACTGGGTAAGCATTTCACCAACTGTGCTACAAACTCAGCCCGCCTTGCTTTTTGAGACAGGGTTTCTAAATGGCCTGGAAACTCCCTAGTGGTCCAGGCTGACCGGCTAGTGAGACCTCCCCATCTCTACCCCTAGCACTGGCCTAACAAGCGTGAGCCACTATGCTTAGCTTTTTAATGTTAGTTCTGGGAATCGAACTCGGATCCTTGTACTTGCAAGGTTATCTGCTTGCCCTTGTATTTCTCTTTATACTCTTAAATCATCTAAACCTATGCTTTATATATTAGTAACATTCAATAAATGTTTATTAACTTAAATTATGGAGCATTATTGTTTTTAATAAGGCAAAATTACTCTTTGACTGCTTAGAGAATAGCATATCAAATTCGAGAGAAATGAATGCAGGAAGTCATCGACGGCTACTTCTTCAGATCAGTGTTGATAAAGAATGCAGACAATGAGCTGGGCGGTGGTGGCGCACGCCTTTAATCCCAGCACTCGGGAGGCAGAGGCAGGCGGATCTCTGTGAGTTCGAGGCCAGCCTGGGCTACCAAGTGAGTTCCAGGAAAGGCGCAAAGCTACACAGAGAAACCCTGTCTCGAAAAAAAAAAAAAAAAAAAAAACAAACAAAAAAAAAAGAATGCAGACAATGTCCAGTATTGAATATCTGTTATTAAAATATTGTCCTTGTGCAAAGGTGCTGTCGTCAATCATCATGGCTCCATCATCAATAAGGTCCCAGCACCTTGAAGGCATTTCTTCTTACGATGATAATCAATCCATGTATTTTAATTGAGAAGCTGAGCTGTGCTATATACTGTGAAGATTACATTGGTGGTACTAAGGTGACTTTCATGCTCAAAGAGCCCAGAGTTGAGTTTAGGGTTAGGAGAAGGAATCCTCAGGCAGCAGGGGCTCATGAAACACCAGGTACTGCATCAAGAATCAGTGCCAATAGAATTCCCAAGGAGTCCAGGGCAAGAGGTTTTCCTAGGCAGAGAGTTCTTGGGAATAGCTTTGAGCAGGCCTTTGAAAGCACTGTCCGCTTTGCTAGCTGGTGAGAACGGTGTCCCACCTGAGGGATCAGATTCCTCTGTGACACTTTCCTGGGTAAGTAAAATCCAGGCCATAAACCCGAGAGCTTCTTTATTATTAGGATAACCAGCCTTTGTGTGCTGCCACAAGAAAACCCCAGACCTAATGCTTTTGTCTGTCAGTGTGGCATATTGTGGTTGGGTTGTCTGAAATTCCTTAGAATGATAAAAAACAAATCTGCAATTTTATGAGCATAGATAGTTTCTTCAGAGGGACAGAGTCAGAGAACTTGTCATGCCAGATGGTTGATCTAGGTAGAGCCTGAAAAAAGAAACCTAGTGTTGAAGCCACGCACAGAACTTAGCTGGGCGAGGAAGCTGTAAATCTCAGTCTTCGTGACAGCACGAGCTGCCAAGTGGCTCGGAAGTGGCCCCACCAAGCTGGTCCTGCTGTAGGTAGACCCAGGGTGGGTGGTTCTATGGAGGCTGGCTGGCAGGCTTGCCACAGCTAATCTAGGCTGCTTGTTGACTAGCTCTGCGGCGATTGCAATGCTTTCGCTGCCTCCAGGAGAGTGGATTTGGTGTTGTCCTTTGCTCAAACCCACTTTTGTTGCTAAGCCCAGAGTTCAGACTCTTAAATGGGAGTTCCTGCGGGGAGGTTTTGTCATTAGTGATGGATTAGGAGAGCAAGTTACTGTGAACACTACGGAAGTAATGGGAGGAAAGGCTGGGGAGACAGTTCAGCTAGTAAAACACCTGCCTTGCAAGCGTGAGGACCTGAGTTCAATTCCCAGAACCCACATAAAAACAAAACAAAAATTTAAAAAGTCTGGGGTAATGGTACAAGTCTATAATCTCAGTTCTGGGGAGGTGGAGGCAGGCAGATCCTTGGGGCTCACTAGCCTGCCAGACTTGTGTACTTAGCAAGTTCTAGTCCAGTGAGAGACCCTGTCTAATAGATAGATAGATAGATAGATAGATAGATAGATAGATAGATAGATAGATAGATAGATAGGTAAGAGGTAAATGGCTCCCAAGGAAAGTCGCTTGAGTTGTCCTCTGGTCTACATACATACTACATATGGGTGTATGTGCAGCCACATTCACAGACATATATATGTAAACATGCACATGTATTAACATGCACACAAATACACGCTCAAAAAGAAGTAGACCACTTAGGACACAGGCAAGCCATACCACTTTCTACTTTTTCTTGTGAGGAAGGATGGCTATGTTGTTTCCAACTAGATGAGATAGTCTGTGCTCTTTGTTCCTTCTGTTAACAAACAGCAAACTGGAATTGTTGATCCCTTTTGTCACTGTTCCTCAGTGCACGAATTCAGCAAGCTTCTGTTGGCATCCCAACATCTGATGCTGTTCTCTCAGTTGGCAGCCTACAGCTAATAGCACTTCTCTGGCCTCGAGAGGGTAACAGTTGGTGGGAAAGTGGAAAGAACACACCATTTGTGATACATTGTGACAAGTGGATGCCATAGGCCACACAAACACAAAATACCAGTGGATAAGCTCTTGATGACTGAGGCATAGAGCATTTGTCCTGCGCTGGACTGTGTAGAGGGGACTGTGCACACAAGGAAAATCAGCCCGATGGTGGCAGCTCCGGACTGGCAGTTGGGGAAGAACTCGGATGACTTTGGCCTCTATGGTTTGAATGGGGTGTGTTCTCTCTGAAACTCAGCTAACTTGTGATCTCCATTGTAGGTCGTTAGTAAGGAGGAGAGGAGTATCTGACCATGGTGCTTGGGAATCAGGCCCTCTGGGAAGAGTCTAGGGTTAGAAAGCAATAGGGTAGAATTCCCATTGCTGACTGTTAGTGGCTTTTTAGAAGAGAGATCAGGACACACACACACACACACACACACACACACACACACACACACACACACACACACACTACTGTTCCTGGGTGTATGATACCTGTCATTGCTCGGGGATACTGCCAGTGAGAAAGCGACCACCACAAGCTACAGCACCCTTTTTTTTTTTCTAAAATGTACCCTATCTGTTATCTTGTGCTATCAGCAAGAGACAAATGGCCTAAGACAGAGCTGAAGCCTTGGTTACGCTTGAAAGTTTGAGGAATGGTGTAAGAGAATTTGTACTAAGGGATCAGCTCAAGCAAAGACACGGAGTCAGAGACAGTGAGTTCTCATAGCAAACCATCCATCCAATGCACGTTCGCCGGGCATCTGTTTTATCAGGGACTTTCAGAGGTACCGGGAACAGTGTTGAATCCAACAGACAGATGCCTGCTTTGATGGGGCTGCCACCCCAGCAGAGCAGCTAGAGAAAACCACAAATAAAGAATGCAGCATGCTAGGCGAGGTGTATGAAGAGAGGAAAGGAAGGAAAGGAAAGCCTAGTGGAGGGATGGGGGATGGTCTAAAGGGCAGCATGCAAGGAAGAAGAACACTTAGTCTTCTCTCCTTAACGTTGTATGGGAATGCCCGTCTTCCAAATGTTTGCCTGAGGGATCATCCAGAAACCAATCCCATCACTCCTGTGCTTATAATCATTTGGGGTTCCCTGGGTTTCAAAAGTTTCTTTTATTGTGTGCGTGTATGGTGTGTGTGTGTGTGTGTGTGTAGGTGTGTGTGTGAGGGTGTGGGGGCTGCATGCATATGCCACAGATTGCAAGTGAAGGTCAAAAGACAACTTTCTGTAGTTGGTTCTTTCCTACCACGAATTCCAAGGATCAAACGCATCAGACTTGTACATGTTCTTAGTAGTTTCGATTGTCAACTTGATACAGTGTAACAATACCACGGAAGGAAATCTTGGTAAGGAATTATCTAGATTAGGTTGGCCTGTGGGCATGCGTAAATGTGGGTGGAGCCATTTCAAGTGCTGGGCCCTGGACCAAATGAGAAGGAAGGAGTGGTCTAACCCGTAGCCGGCATGCGTTAATTCACTGTGGATGTTGTGTGATGAGCCTCTTGACTTTGCACACGGACGGACTGCACTGGAACTGTACTACAGCCTTCTCCTTTAAGTTGCTTTTGTCAGGATATCATTTCACAGCAACAGGAAACAAAGCAAATGCTTTTACCTCCCGAACTATGATGCCAGTCCTGTTCGCTCGTTTAAGTGTCATTTCTAACCTTCTTAGCACGCATTTGTGGTGTGTCCTCTCCCTACCTCAAGCATCCCTTCTCATCTGTCTCTCCACAGTCTTCTTCCCTTTCACGCGTCCCCTCGGGAGTCAGGTTATTGATTCCAGGGAAGTTGGAGCCACCACAGCCCTGGCACCACCTACTAGCCTATCCACATAACCCACACCTAGACAGTGACTGGACTGTGCACTGATCCAGTTAGGACTGTTCCCTGAAGGCTGGCATGTGGCGTGCTAAGCACACATCATGTGTGAGTGAGACTCCTCTTAAGGTAGACATCAGTGATCATGGGGACAATCTACCTGGAGATAAGTGTGGATCAGAAAGTAGAAGGAAGAACCAGATGCGGAGGGAGTCAGTATCTGAGCCCTGAGGAAGTAGAAGAAGGTGTATGAGTGTATGAGAACATCTGGTTGTCGGGGCAACCCCGACACTACAGCAACAGCTAGAAACAAATTCTTAGGCCCCACCTCAAACCTGCTGAACCGGGAACTTGGGAGCAGGGTCCAGCCATCTGTTTCTATAAACTGAGTAAATGATTCTGATGCTTGTTAAGTTTGGAAGCCACAGTCTTGTTTAGTTACCTCAGCCAGTAAATCTGCTTACTAGCTAAGGCCATTGAATTGGGTTTTGCTTCCCTGTGTCACCTGTACTTTGAACTAGTAGGACTCTGATGTAATGACAAATACAGCTTTAGTTGTGTCCTTCATGTCCCTGGGGATCTACTTAGTGTGTATGTGAGGGGGGGCATGCTTTTGCCTCTGGGTGAAAACTTAGAAGAGCTTCGTTCTCTCTGCCTTTTCTTTCTTTTTAAGGTCTTTGTTTATTAGAACAAAACATACATACCATAAAATTTTATCCTGCTGACATAGGCGTACAGGTCAGTAATGTTAAACACACTCACTGTGTTGTGTGGTTGGTACCATCTTTCATCCCCAAATAAACTTTGCTCCCAATAAGCAGTGACTCCCCATCTCTCCTGTCCTTGGTGCCTGGTAACCACCATTCTTCCTTGGTGCATTTGTCTACTGGAGACACTCTGGGATGGTACATAGACAGCACTTGTCCTTTTGTTCCTGACTTCTTGCGTGAGGCATGATGTCATCCAAATTTGCCCATGCCGTTGTATGGACGAGGGTTTCTTGTCTGGTGAGGGCTGAATGGCAGTCTGCTGTATGCACACTCCACATTGTGTTTACCTACCCATCATCCATCAGTAGATGCTTGGGTGGCTTCCACACGCACAGATGTCTGCTGGAGCCTCTGTGCTCTTTTCTATTGTTCTTACCATGGCTGCTTCACAATCCACTCTCACTTTTTACCCTCTTTCCTTCCGGTGCACTGAAATTGATTCTGGAGACTTGGAATATTTTTCTCCTACTTTTCAAATTTTTCCGAGTAACTCAATACCCTGTTATGCAACTAAAAACACACGCTACACCCTTGTTATAGTTCTTTGTGAGTCATAGCTCTGCCCTCAAAGGGGAAGGGAAACTCATAGGCACTTAGTAAGCACAGGGCTGGCCCCAGAAAGGATTTTATATGTTTTTATCTTAAAAAATTGGTGTAACAACTTTGCCAAACAATGACTCTTATCTTTTACAGATGAGGAAACTCGGTTTCAGAGAAGACAAATAGCATCTCTCATCCCACAGCCCCAGATTAGAATCCACCAGCTCTGTGGGTCTGTAGAGCAATTACATAATCTTTTCAACCTGCTCCAATTTCATGTCCAACTGGAGAGATGAAGCTAAGTTACAGAGTACTGATGATAAATTTTAAAAAAGTGTTTTAAAGTTTTATTTTAACTTTATGTGTATGAATGCTTTCTCTCCATACATGTATGTGCACCATGCATGTACAGTGCCTCTGGAGGCCAGAACAGAGCATCAGGTTCCCTGGAACTGGGGTTACAGATGGTTGTGAACCACTATGTGGGTGCTGGGAAATGAACTCAGGTTCTCAGTAAGACCAGCCAGCACTCTTAACCACTAAGCCAGCTCTCCAGCCCAGTGATCATAGATATTAGAAGTGGGAATACTTCTCCACTGGTTGGAGCTTAGTCTGTGTTGAAGATTGAACTTCCTCAGGACTTCGAAGAATCTATGATATTTATAACAACAGCAGTTAAGAGAGAAAGCATTCCTAGGGCGAGGACCGTACTGGGGTGAAGGGAGAGAAGAGAGTTCACATGAGCTTTGTGAGGACAGAAACTGGCCCTTCCTAAGTAGAAAGTACCTGTTACGGAACACTAAGCAGCAAGTTCAGGTCAGAAGGTTCCATGAACTTTAGATCAAAACTGGAAGTACAAGCTTTTGGAAAGCAGTGGCCTAACACTTGCACCAGGAGGAGGGGTGCACTTGAGGAGGCCTTATCCCAACTGGAAATCTTGGACAAGTCATTCAAACGCACACATGCAAGGTTTCCTCATTTGTAAAGAGGGATATTAATATCTACTCAGCACGACTGTTGTAAGAATCTGTGATAATAGGTGAATACAGTGTTTGTCCCAGGCCTGGCTCATAACCGCTACTCGGCACGACTGTTGTAAGAATCTGTGATAATAGGTGAATACAGTGTTTGTCCCAGGCCTGGCTCATGACCGCTCAGTCACACTCTCAGTTGCTGTTGCCGTCATCAGCAGGGAAGCATGGTGCTTCCTGGTCTCAAAAGTATTGACCCAGAGTGCCATCCGAGGAAAACTTGACAACAGAAGTCAGTCTGGAGTATAGTGGTGACGTCAGTGGCAAAGTGGATTTAGACGGGGCTTCATAATTACTGGGAAGTGAGATTGTCAGCAGGGACCTCGAGATGGTAGAAAAGGCTGGAAAAAGTGAGGAGCTAGCACCTCTCCAGACCATGGGAACAAAGCCTGAAAGAGAGGAAAAGTCCAGGACAATTTCACATTCCCAACAAGACAGAGGAGGAGGAGTGTGTCCACGGAACCAGGAACCAAAACTGAGGCAGGGGAGCTGATGGTCCGGGAGATGGGGTGGACATCACAAGGAGGTTGTCATAATCCGTTCCAGAATGTTGACTTTGACGTGATGATGGGACATTGAAAGAGCAAAGAGCATTGTGCTTCTACACGCAGAGTGGGCAGCTGATACCAGAGACTCTGAGGGGACTCGGTATGCCTGAGAGATAGAGCACAGGAAGCATAGGACGGACCTACATGAACGGAGAGCAGCACTCTTCATGCTAAACATCTCATTGCTTAAATAACAGAAAACCAGGGTGACTGTTTCTTTTGCGGGGAAGTCACAGAGACCTAGATACCACAGAACATTTACTTAGGCCACAGGATTGCTCTACGAGAAGAAGTGCCAAGTGGCCTGTGCTTCTGAACGAGGAAGAGAGGGGGCTCTTACGGAAAGCTGTGTTTTTCCTGTGCTGGGGAGTATTGATATTTGTCTGCATATTCCTCACGTGTTAGCAGGATGATGAGACATTAATCCAGCACTGATTCTCATGCTAGGATGCTAACTTCAGTGAATATTTGTCTGGAAATTCTCTGCACACTTCCTGGTTGCTAGGCTACACATCAGAACTACTGCATTATAAATTTCTTCAAGTGCTTCTTTGTATCCACTACTACTTTAACCGTGTTCCATCATTTTCTAAACGACAAAATGGAATTCACTGAGTTTAGCCACGGTCACATGGTTTTAACCTCTTAGTTTTATTAATATGTGCATGCTCATGCTTGCTTGAGTATGTGTGTGCGTGCATGTGCGTATGTGTGTGTACACATGCACTCCTGCACTGGTGCTCAGGCTTGCATGCCACAATGTATATGTAAAGATCAGAGAACAACTTGTGGAAATTGATTCTCTTCCTCTGCCGTCTGGATTCCAGGGATGAAACTCAAACCATCAGCAGGCGGCAAGCACCTTTGCCAGCTGAGCCAGGCCTATAGCTGTTTGGGCTTTTCGGATCAAATTCTGTCTCAGTAAAAATTACCCAACCCAAGACTTAGTCTTAAAGAGAAGTTTTTCTTTTGCTTTTGAATTGTGTCTGATTGTTTCTATGTAAATCACAGTGTTGATCATTTCTCTAAGATCTTAGAACACCCGACTGTAGTCCATTTCTTATCTGAATGAAATGGCATGCATCACTAGTTGAATTCTTGAAGTGAGGCTCATCGCTATTCTGAGTTAAAGCAGATTGTAATGAAAGTGATTGCATTTTCTATAAGCTCTGAAGCGGCTCTGAAGGCGCCTTCCAGCAAGAAGGCGGTCTCAGGACCACACTGGGCTATTTGAATATCAAAATTCAAATTAGAAATGTTCACACCACTAGCTTTTCTGTTTGATGAAAGTTGAATTATCATGAGCTAGCAACCTAGGTGAGATCGAACAGATGGAAGATGTTTTGATTTTTATTTATAGACTTTGAATAATGCATTTGAGATTTGCAGATGGTGCTCCTCGTATATGCTGCTCTCTGACTCTGACACTGTCCATCACAGAAACCCTGTCATGTGTTTATTTAGCTCTTCTGCTGCTACATTGTTGGTTATATAAGGAAGAGACCATATCTGCCCTGCTCAGATCCTCAGTACGGTGCCTGGGTCAATTGTAATGATCATGCAACACATATTTGACTATCTAAATCAGGGAGCGATGATAATTGGCTCTTTCATGTGACTAGTCACACAGAATTCTCAGACATGTTTCTTGAATATGTCAGTGTAATCATCGGCATCACCTATTAGAATCAAAGACACCTAGAGCCATAAAGCCTCTTTGAGTCGTTTGGTGGCAGCGATTCTCAACTTCAGATGCACACAGGAATTGCCTAGGAATGATGCAAAGAGTTCACCTGAGTCCAATCCCCAGACACCATGGTACAGCTGGTGTGGGTTGTGTTCTAAACTCTGAAAGTCATAAACTTTCCCCAGGCATTTACAACACAGAGCCAAAGCTGAGTTGTCCTGATCAATCATAATATTTTCCTTTTGGGGAAAAAGTTGAGGCCCAAAGAATTTAAGTAATTAGCTTTTCAGTGAGCTGTGGCAAAGGAGAAAACCTAGGTGCACTGGTTCTGAAGCCACTGTGCTTTCTGCTGTACCCGAGTTTCTCAGATTGGCTCATTCCAAGTCACTTGCTCTTTTTAAAAGTATATATTTATTATATACATATTTCAAAATATGTATAACTGTGGAATGGATGAATTGAGAGAATTAACAAATGCATCACCTTCACACCTATAATTTTTGTCACAAGAAGACTAAACATCTGCTCTTAGCATGTTTAATTTCGTGTGTGTGTGTGTGTGTGTGTGTGTGTGTGTGTGTGTGTGTGTGTGTGTCTGTGTCTGTGAGACCATAGACTCAAGGCAATTATAAACAAAAGATCTATTGATTAGCTGATAGCAGGATGAACAATATCTGAGCCACATTTGAGATTGCCATGTAGGAGGGGTGTGGGGAAGGACTTTTAAAGGGGAAAACCACAAGAAGATCTTCAATATCTACGCAAGAAAGCAAAAACTATTCTGTTCTGCCAAGTGAAGTGGATAAGGCAACTCAAAACAATCTTTGGGTATCTGTGTAAGCAAGTTACAGAAGCAAAAAAGGCAGTTAATTATAGCATAACAAGTAGATAGTCACGGCTGTACATTTTTGGGTTGGGGTCACTGAGTTAGGTTTACTGGGAACTTATCTTCTAGGGACTGGACTCAGAGACAAATGGCTGGTGGGTACCAAGATGGATGCCTGGCATAAAATGGAGCTTCTTTAGCCATAACGAGGACCCAACATACACTTTTCATATGGCTGTATTAATTGAAGTTCTTGTCAACAGTGCAGGTGGTACTTCTCTCCACATCCTCATGACACTTGTTACCTTGTCCATTCGATAAGAGCTGTTTTAATGTTTGTAAAGTGGTATCTCATTGTAGTTTGGATTCTCCTGTCTTTGATGATGAATGTTTTCTCACTGACCTTCTTTCTGGTCAGGTCTTCTTTTTGAGAAATGTCTATGTAGGTCTTGGTCCATTTTCTAATCAGGCTTACTATGGAGTTGAGCTTCTTGTCTATTTGGCTGCTCACCACTCACCAGATGTATGGTCTGTAGGTATTTTTGCTGATTCCGTGGGCTGTATCTTCATTCCCTTGATTGCTTCCTTGGCTGTGTCTAAGACTTTGAGCTCCAGCAATCTCACTTACAATTCATTTTTGCTTTGGTGGCCTGTTCTTTGGGATTTGGATTAAAAAACAGAAAGGAATAATTGCCCACATCACTATAGTTTTCCCTATATTTTCTATTATTAGCCTTAAAGTTTAAAGCTCTAATATCAATATTGAGTTCATTTTTATGTGATATACAGTAAGGGCCTTAATTTCTTTGTTCTGCATGTGGATATTCACTTGTCTCAAATTGTTGAGTGATAAGAATATCTTCTTGCTTCAGAAAAGATCAAATGACTGTGGAAGCTCCTGTTTGTTACTGGGTGTTCTGGTCTGCTCCATTGGTCAATGTGCTGGTTTTTAATCTGGTACCATGCTGTTTTGACTACTGTAGCTTTAAAGGTGGGTAGTCTGACACTTCTAGTTTTCTTCTTTTAACAAAAGTTTGCCGGGAGGTGATGGCACACACCTTTAATCCCAGCACTTGGGAGTCAGAAGCAGGTAGATATGAGTTCAAGGCCAGCCTGGTCTCCAGAGCGAGTTCCAGGACAGCCAGGGGTACACAGAGAAAACCTGTCTTGAAAAACCAAAAAAAAAAAAAAAATGTTTTTTTATTATTTTAAATTGTGTGTGTGTGTGTGTGTGTGTGTGTGTGTGTGTGTGTGTGTGTGTGTGTTTGAAGGTATGTGCACACAAATGCAGATGCCTTCTGAGACTCTAGGCATTAGGTCCCCTGGAGCTAGAGCCATAGACAGTTGTGAGATTCGTAGTGTGGGTGCTGCTAACTGAACTCTGGTCCTCTGGAAGAGTAGTAACCTGTGCCATCTCTCCAGGCCTCATTATTGAATTTACTAATGTTTTCTTACTGAGTTTGTATCTAGCACCATCAGAGATGCTGGTATTTAATTTTCTTTTCCTATATACAATCCTCTTGTTTGGCTTTGCTATTTAGGGAGATTTTGGACTCCTAAAATTGGTACTTCTTCAATTTTGTGGGGAAACCTGTAGAAAATTTTTAGTATTTTAAAGTGGAATTAAGAGTTGGTTACTTAAAAAAATAAAAATCAACAAACCTTTATCTATACTAATTAAGAAATTGAAAGAGAAAGCTCAAGTTTATAAAATTTAAAAACGAGACATTACACTGGTACCAGAGAAATACAAAGGATCCTGGAGGCCACCATGAACCATTATATACCAAGAAATTAGAAAACCTAAAAGAAAATAATGTACCCTGGTCTTATACAGCCTGCTAAGACTGAATCACAACAAAGTGTACAGGGTAATCTGGACAGACTAATAATGGACAAAGAGTTTGAATCAATAATATCTTCGTTAAAAGAAAAACCCAGAGCCTGATGCCTCCACTGTGGAAGTCTACAGATCCCTTCACTTACTCTGATATTTCATATTTGCCTTTAAATAGAATCCCATTTTAGCAAGAACATTTAAAGAAAATCTTATATCATTTGGTAACTAGAAAATTTATTTCGCTTACTACACACAAACTGGGAAAAAGGAAAATAAAATATCATTAAGTTCTGGTAATAAAATTACCCATTGAAGACTTGTGATCTGAAGTATTTTTTTCTTTTCTTTTCCAAAACTGTAAGAACAGGAATAAACATATTGCTGTGGCTAGTTTGAGGCATTCTCCTGTCTAAGACATCGGAAAGAGAATTGAAACTGAGTGCTAGATCTAGATGAATCACATAGTACACTCTGAAAGAACTGGTTCATTCTTTTATTGATTAATAATTCGACCCACTGATCTCAGGTACTGTGATGGTGTGCATACTCTGGATAGTGCTGTGCACTGATCTCAGGTACTGTGATGGTGTGCATACTCTGGATAGTGCTGTGCATGTATATAGTTGGAGGCAAACGGCAAACGGGTTGCACTGCTGTACCTTCAGTGGGCATTTGATCAGAATGGCTCAAGATCAAAATATAAACTCCTGATGGCAGAATGCTGGCAGAAGACTTCTGGATAAAGCCTGATGTTTTGGTGCACAACAGCCATCCCAGTACTTGGGTGGGGGAGGGAGAAGGATTTCATGTTTGAAGCTGGCCTGGTCAACATAGTGAGACTCCATCTCAAAAAACTAAAATCAACCAGCCCAACAAAGAATGGAGCATATTTTTTTATGTGCCCTAAAGGGGGGAAAAAGCCCACCAAGAATTCTATCTTTCACCCTCCCTCTTTCTCCCTCTCTGTCCTGAGTGTGTGTGTGTGTGTGTGTGTGTGTGTGTGTGTGTGTGTGTGTGTGTGTGTGTTTCTGGGGATTTGACACAGGGTATCGCAGCCTACCACTGACATGATAGTCCCAGCCCCATTGAGTTACATCTCCAGCCCTTCTTTTATTTTTTTACCTACTTTTATTGGGCAGCTGGGATTGCAGGCCTGTGTTACCAACCACCACCAAGCTTATCTGAGAACTTCTTTTATTGAATGTAAAGCTCTTCAAATTATTAAGGAATCAAATCAGATGCAGGCCACAGATGAATACTGTCTAAGTAACGGGTTCTTCTGTTCAGTCAGAAAAGGGTGGAATGAGGTCGGAAGAGGAGAATGGATGACCCTATTCCGACCCTCAGCTAAGATAAATTGATTAGGCCATGTTTTCTAAGGCACATTTTTATTTTCTGAGGAAACTTTTTTTTCCTTATCAGATACCCCTCAGGGGTATGAACCAATGGCATATGATAGACCCTAAGGCTGATGGGAAATGCTGCAAGGAGAATTCCAATTGAGAACACATTTGCTGGATCAATCGATCCTTATTTACATTCTCCATAGGATGCAAATTCACTGGCCCTTATTCTACTTCTTCTGTGAGGGATGAAACCTCTTTGTCTGCTTGTCCTGCTCTAAAGTTGTCTAATAGACACCAGCCCAGTGACCTGGCTTGTCTGTAGAAAGCCAGCTGAGATCTGTGGCTCTGTTTCGAAGCGTGTGATAATACAATCACTTTCCTTTCAACACACTGGCGAGGAGCTCTCCCCTGCCAGGAACTGAACGCTTTAATTCTCTGATTCATCAAAGCCTTTCCCTATACATGGTGTCAAATAACCTTTCTTTTCAGGAGGTCTAATCCAGTAGCCTCCCAGACCTCAGGATGAAACCAGGCGGCATGGACACGGTGTGCAAGAAGAACAAAGGAGAAACAATTCAAAGCTGAGCCGCACATTACATAACGCCTTGTGTTGGAAAATCCATGACCCATAAAACACTTACCTACTCTGTGGGCTTTAAATAAAGCAGAGTGGTATGCTTTTTCTACAGTCATCTTTCTGTCAGAATTCCAATTATTCTATGACTCAGTGGGTATGTGTCTAGCTTTTTAAAAACTCAATTTTTTATTATTTTGGATAAGAATGAAGAAGTTTTCATATGAAGTTTGCAAAGGAAAAGTTTATTTAACAATGAGCTGCTGCATCAAACACGTACACATTTTAGTTCATGTTTGAAAGAACATGTTTTAAGTGATGCTTTAAGAATTGAGGCTTACCCTTATGAGAGGAACATTGTCTTTGGTCTCGCTATCTGAATGTGCAGCAATTCATTCCTGTCTAGAAACTGACTGAAATCCGTGGCAAGGATGGGGGTACCCAAGCAACCTTGGTTGGGCGTTGGGATACAGACCACCAAATAAGAAGACTAATCAATGAACACACACAAGAGAGGCATTCCCCCCGCCCCCCGTTTTCACAAACCTTGTCTATAGGCCCTTTTGGCTTCCATCTACAGCACAGCCTGGCTAGCTGTTCACTTTGTAGACTTCGACCATCCCCTGAGCACTCAGCTAGACCATCTTTCTCACAACCCTTGCACACTGGGGTAGCCTGCGACTTGTTCTACCAGTGGGGTATGCTCCAAATGAGGCATTCACCTTCCTCTGACCCAATAAAAGTTCTGTGTGTCTTTCACCCCACCCTGCTCACTGGGTGGCACAGGATCCAAATAGTCCTCTAAAGGGAGTTGAAGTCACAGAACAAGTGGCCACATACCAATCATTCATATGCATGTGACTGTGAACTTGGAGAAAGTGAGAAATAAAATTTTGTTATCTTAAATCACTACAGTTTGCATATTTACGTCTATTTATTTTAGTAGTAGCTCTCAATGCATTACGTGTTGCTGCTCTTCTGTCTTTTGGTCCCTCTGTCTTGCTCCTATTGTTCCTCATGATGAGTTCCTCTCTCAGTCTCCCTGTCTGTGTGTCTCTGTGTGTGTGTATGTGTGTGTGTGTATGTGTGTATGTGTGTGTGTATGTGTGTATGTGTGTGTGTGTATGTGTGTGTGTGTCTGTCTCTTTGTCTCTGTCTCTATGTGTGTGTGTCTGTGTGTCTGTGTGTCTCTCTGTCTCTCTCTCTCTCTCTCTCTCTCTCTCTCTCTGTGTGTGTGTGTGTGTGTGTGTGTGTGTGTGTGTGTGTGTGTGTGCATGTGGTGACCAGAGATTGACAATGAGTGTCTTCCCTTATCACTCTCCATTCAGCCACACTGACTGGATAATGAGCCCTGGGGATTCACACACCGGTCTCTGCATCCCTGGGACTGGATTTCCAGATGTGTGCCACTTTGCCTTTATGGGTGCTGTGGATCTGAACTCAGGTACAAATGCTTTCATAGTAAGCATTTTACCCATGGAATCATCTCCCTAGACTGTACTTCTCTATTCATGACTAAATTAAGGTGTCCGTAGGTGGACGTGGGATTAAAGCCGTCACTGTGTCGAAATGACAATCAGACTTAATTAAGAGAAAAAGTTTTACCAATTCAACTTTTTACAAAGTTTACAATTTAAATACTTGAGGTTAATTTTCGTTGAGTAACTGTTTGAGTGGATAGTGACACAGACCGTGTAATTCCCTTGTGGGAACTGTGACAAATGTCCCTATCTCCACACTAATGACCCAGCAGATGTGTACATGACAACCCTTTGATAAGCAAAAACACCAATATGCACAGACTTGCAGATCAATATTTGTCTGAGCACTCAGCAGACTCTGGATGGCTGTGTGACTTCTGGACTTCGTAGCCTGGTGTCAAGCTGTAAGCAGCTGAGGGAAAGGCATCAGAACTGCTTAAGACTGGATGAGGCTCCCAAAACAATTCGAGTTTCAAAAGCTTTAAGGAGCAAACAACCCTCCCAGCTAATGCTCCAGTGTGACCTTGCTCAGGACCGTGTCACCACATTCTCTCAGCCGCGTTGTGGTAGTTAACCCTTTCTCTTCTTTGCTTCTTGCCCTGAGATGGTAGTTCTGAAATCGACTTCAAGGTAGCCCCAGGGGCTGTCCCACAAAGTGGACCCCAGGCTACTCACTCTGGATTCAACCAGAAAAACTTCATTTTGATGTGCTTTGAACATTGTGTTTTGACATAGGAATTTATTTTTGTTTGAGAGTGGGAGACCCCCATGGCCTTACAGGTTTCATACCATCTCATTAGGTTTCCTAAGAATACCACATCAACGCCTAGTTTGAGTCTCGCAAACCTCCAGTGATGTCCTTATCTGATTCTACAGCACATCACTTCCTGGGCTCCCACACAGTCCCACTCACATTCCACCATCTCCACTTGCTGGATGTCTCATAGACACCTCCTCGGAGTATTCCTGGAATAGAGCACTTCTTCCTGCCTACTCTTCCATCTCAACTGATGACATCACCATCCTCCTGATGACTTAGCATGAAGCTCTGAACCATACTGACCGCTGTTATCTACTTTCTCTGCATCTAGCCAGTCTTGTCTGTAAGCTATCCTAAATTATCATCTCCTGGATGCCTCCCAAACAGGCAGTGGGACCGGGCCCTGTGCTCATTGCATGAGTCGGCTGTTTGAAACCTGGGGCCTATGCAGGATCGCTTGCTCGGCCTGGGAGGAGGGGACTGGACCTACCTGGACTGAGTCTACCAAGTTGATCTCAGTCCTCGGGGAAGGCTTTGTCCTGGAGGAGATGGGAATGGGGGGCGGGCTGGGGGGGAGGTGAGGGGGGGCGGGAGGGGGGAGAACAAGGGAATCCGTGGCTGATATGTAGAACTGAATTGTATTGTAAAATAAAAAAAAAAATTATCATCTCCTTCCTCTCCATCTTTACTGCCCTTGCCTTGGTGTGGGATCTGGTCATCAATCTTCATCCACCATTACAAGACTCCAAGCAACTCTGACAGAAATCTGCCTGATGATTGTCCTGACCATTCTTTGAACTACAGAAGAAATTATAGCAGTTGCTATTTAGCTGCAACTTTGTAGTTAACAAACTGCTTTCTTGTACATTCCCACACTTAAACCTCACAATATTCTATTTTTTATTTCCTTTTTTAATATGGTATTTTGTTGATTTCTGAGAATTTCAGTTAGTGTATTTTGATCATATTCGCCTTCCTCTCCTTCCCCTAATGCCTCCCAGATCCACTCCACCTTCCGCCCTGCCCCCTACTACTTGTTCTCTTTTTGAAAATAGCCTACCAAGTCAATTTGTGCCAGGCCTCCACTGGAATATGGCCAACTCACCAGGGCCACACTGACTCTGCCTCTCTTCGAAGTTCATAGCTCCTCTGATAGGAGTGGAGGCTCATGCTCCCCTCCCCAGCTCTAGACTAAAATGTCAACTGGCTTCATCTTGAGCAGATCTTGTACAGGCAATCACAGCACTGTGAGTTCATGAATATAGAGGTCCTGTCATGTCTAGAGTAAACTGTTCCACTCTGGTCCTCCACAACTTTGGCTCTTGCAGTCTGTCTGTCTCTCTTCTCTGATGGTCCGTGAGACACTGTGGAGGAAGGGTGTGATCCGGATGCAACGTTTGTGGCTGAGCACTCCACTGACTGACTCTCATTTTCTGCACTTTGGCCAGTTGTGAGTTTCTGCGTTGAGCAGGTCTGAGAGTTGCATAGTCTGTGAGTACAGAGAATGGAATTTAGATGAAAGGTTGATAGTACGCTTTAGCAGAATAATAGTAGTAGGCTCACCCCAGGAGCCTGTGAGCTCCCCAACCATGGGATTTTGGCCAGTAAATCTCACAACATTTGAACAAGAAGACATTGTCATTATGCTAATTTACAACAGGAAACTGAGGCATGAATTGTTACATTGATTAAGGAGTCTTGTAAAGATACAGAGCTCTGAGATTTGAACCCAATTCTGAAGACTATGTGTGCCCATGACACTGAGCCACAGAGTCAAGCATGCATCACCACTTCCTTCAGGAGCATTCCAGAACTTTCAATGCAGAGATCTTTAGAACTGTGTCGTAGAGCTTCTTCATGGGCTCATAGTACAGCATGAGTTGGGACTCACATTCTAGTGTGAAACCTTGGATTAGTTAGGCAAGCTCTCTCAGCCTCAGCTCCTTAATCTGCAGAGTAATGCTAGCAATAGTGTATCCCCTGGAGCTGTCATGGGCCTTGAACAAGATAGAGCATGTGATGTTCTCTGCATTTTGCTTGTATTGAAGTGCTCAGTAGTGTTGGATGTTGGTACCAATTTAACAGTCTCGTTGTGCTGGATAGTTTGATGTCAACTTGACACAAGCTAGAGTCATCTGATAGGAGGGACCCTCAATTGAGAAAATGCCTCCCTAAGATTGGGCAAGCCTGTAGAGAGCAGTTCTCAACCTGTGGGTCATGACTCCTTTGGGGGCTGCATATCAAATATCCTTCATATCAGGTATTTACATTTCAATTGATAGCAGTAGCAAAATTACAGTTATGAAGTCTCAATGAAATAATTTTATAGTTGAAGGTCACCACAACATGAGGAACTGTATTAAAGGGTTACAGCATTAGGAAGGTTGAGAATGCAGCTGTCAGGCATTCTGTTAATTAGTGATTGATATTAGAGGGCCCAGCCCATTGTAGGTGGTGCCACACCCGGGCTTGGTGGTTCTGGGTTCTATTAGAAAGCATGCTGAGCTGGGCGGTGGTGGCACACACCTTTATTCCCAGCACTCGGGAGGCAGAGCTAGACGGATCTCTGTGAGTTCCAGGGCAGCCTGCTCTACAGAGCGAGATCCAGGATAGGCACCAAAACTACACAGAGAAACCCTGTCTTGAAAAACAAAAAAACAAACAAACAAACAAAAAAAGAAAGCAGGCTGAGCAAGCCATGAGGAGCAAGCCAGTAAGTACCACACTCCTCCATGGCCTCTGCATCAACTCCTGCCTCCGGGTTTGAGTTCTTGCTTTGGCTTCCCTCAACAGACTCCGTGTATGTAAGCCAAATAAACTGTTTCCTCCTCAAGTTGCTTTTGGTCACGGTGTTTCTTCACAGCAACAGTAACCCTAACAAAGCAATTTATCTCTTGCCATTTCCTTTCCATTTTCTACCGGCAAGCAGACCAGATCACAATCTGTTACTTTCTCTATGAAGCCTTAAAAATATCAGTTGATGACCAACTCTCCTCCACAACACCATATGTATCTGCCTGTATAGTTAGATACATGGTCAGATAATAAAGTCCTTAAGATCAGCATGGGATTTCTTCTGAGACTGGTCAATAGGTCTTCAAGAACGTCCCTGCCCATAACAGATTTGAATTGCTCTTCCTGCAAATGCTTCTGTCTGGTTATTTCTCTTATCTTTGCACTGCCTCTCCTTGACTCCTCCCACTTCTGACCTCACATTTGTCCTTGAGGCTCTTTCTTCTCCAGCTTGCCAGCCCTGACTCATCTGGGGAGAGTGAGCAGATCTCAGCCCCAGGCCAGCATGTGTCTCCAGGCAAGGCTATTGCCCTTACTCTGTCCTCTGTTCAACAGCTTTTTTGGTGCCGCCAATACCCAAGGACTGACCAGCAATGGTTCCAATAAGATGATCACAGCTCCTCTCCTCACCGTTGTCTGTTACTTCTTAGTCTTTCTTGTCTGATAGCTGAACTCTCCCAGGACATTGAGACCTTGTCCTTGACATCAGTAGATCCTCCACAGAACCTGGTTTAGAATAAGCTTGCATTGAATGACCACTGATGGAATGGACTATTCCTTCCCACCCCAGTGGCAGTGGGTCCTTGGGCTCTGAAAGTTTTCAAGACCACCAGGAGGCATTTCATGGCACATGCACTGTAACTCCCATTACACAGC